ACTATATATCACCTTTTTATAAAGATTTGTCTCGTGATTTAGCCCCCTTATATGATAATATATTTTAAACATGATGCCTCAAAAATGATATTCGCAAGATTGCAGGCTCAATTGACCCCTTTTGATTTTGAAATTCAATACAAAAAGGGAATTGATAATTCTGTGCCGGATTTCTTATCTCGTGAATATTTGCAGGATGGAACCCCCATGGGGTAGAGGTAGAGAATGGGGAAGATCATCCCCACATTCCAAAGGAAGAACGTCCCCTTCAGGATCGTCATGCGGATCCACATCAAACTCCCTAGTTATACAAATGGGAAGAAAAAGTTTGACTAATGAGAAAATATCTCTCAGAGGCGAGTCCTCGATGATAGGACCATCCATTCACCTGGAAGATATTCCAGAAGATAGTCCGTTATACGCACACTTGCAGGCATATTTGACTGCTCAAAAGCAAAGTGATACTTTTGCTTCTATTACAAAAGAGGACAATGATGATATCAAGTCCTATGAGAAATTGCCTAAAAAAGAAATGATATTTCTTTTAGAAAATTCTGATATTCAGAGAAAAGAAGAACCATGGAAGATATTCCAAAGGTATTTGATAAATGGATTGTATTATCCGGGTGAGTCATACAAAACCCGTTCTTATTATGAAACTATACTCACCAGTACTGGTAGTGCAGAATTTCAGCACTTTTCTGGTTATAGCACAGACGAGAACGTTTATAACTTCTCAAAGATCATAATCAAACAGATTATATCTGTTGAAGATTGGGGAATATCCACGATGAAAGAAAGGCAGATAAGCCTTAACAAGTCCCGTATGAATTTTACCTATTGGGATTATATCCAGGCCTTTGATAAAGTGCTCTACTACAATAATGATCGACACAAGCATACTTGGTTCGTAAAAGTATGTGCAAAGATATTTGCAGAGCCCATTCCAAATTGGTTTTTAAACTGGTGGTCATACCACGGTCCGACAGTAAAAATATTACCTGATCCATTTCTCATGTTATACAAAGAATGGACAAAAATTTCTCCAGTTATAAACGAATTATACCACACAGATCATATCTGTTACCTAGAAAAGATTGACCAGATATATTTCTTTCTGGAATTCTCTATTCCTTGGACTCCAGAAGTTGGATTCACCGAAGAACAAATTCCTTGTTTATACAGGACATTTTATAACAATTTCTGGGATAAACTAATGAAAAAGGATCCCAAAACGAAGACGTTATACGGTCAAGAACTCTTGGACTCCATCAAAACAAAAATCCAAGAATATTCCAGCAACCCTCAAAAAGAGAAGGTTGATGATAGTTCAGTTCGGCATATTGCCAAAAAGATCTCCTTTCAAGAAGGGGACAAAGAAGAAATGATCAACGACTACTTGGAAGAAGTAAAAAGAAATTTGCTTCGTTCCATCAATCAGTATGAGAAATCAGACACTTCGATGCAAAGTGAGACCAGCAACGATGATATCGCAGATGATTCCCAACCTATTGAATCAGAGAAGATATTATCTGATGAAGCCTTACAAAATGCGGAAGAATTCCTCTGCAAAATGAAAGAGATGGAAAAGCGACCAGCACAGTGAAGCCACCGGACCCCACTGCACAGTGAAGCCGCTGGACCCCACTCAACAGTAGATAAACTGTTTCAACGGTAGAAACACTGTACAGGGACCCATATGGGACCCTATTTTACTGTTCATAGATTCTTTTTCTTTTCTATTTAAACGATTCATTCTTTCAGAGGAAGAAGCAAAACCCCTTTCTCTCTAAACTCTCTCTTTTTCTCTCAATTGTAAGTACTACTCTCTGTAATTGAAGAACAAAGTAAATAAAGTTAGTTTCGAGTTCTTCATCTTCAAGCCTTGCATCCCGGCCAAAAGGTATTTATTTTGTTGTTTCTTAGTATTTTATCTAGTCTCTCCTCTCTGGCCGTGACTGTGTCCGGCTAAGAGACTTCATATCTATATTGAATATCTAACTTCTCTCTTATATAAACCATGAAAGAGACGGCATCTATCAAAATATAAATGAATTTTGTATATAATTTCTTGACTTGGTTTCGAGATGGTTGGTACAGTCTAATATAGCACTACTCTTATTGGCTTTGCCTTAGTGGCTCCGTCTAGCCAGCCGTGAACCTTAGCTCGATGAATGAATTGAAAAGGGCATCTTCTTTCACGGTTAGAACTACTAGACACATGGGCTCAATGAGAGTATGTATTATATTAAGACAGACCCCTTGCTTGAGTAAAAGGTTTAACCTTCCATACAGTCATCAAAATATATAAAATTCAAGTATATTTCGATTCTTATATCCTTACTGATTGTGCGGATTACCGCCAGTCTTTAAACATAAGGATGCTGAATTAGCTAGATTAAGAACTCTCGATCGTGTTAAAATAGAGATCTTTAACTGGTGAAAACCTCGGTGGACATATAATAGTCAGCAGAGGTGTGAAACAATTCCAGTTCCCGATCAATCGGAGATCTCTCTCTGTTTTAGCTCAGTTGAGAAGGCCGTGCGGATTACCGCCCGCCACTTGATCCTGTTAATATGAGGAGAAACTAGTATGAAAAATACTAGATTAGAAGAGGTAGATATACCTCAAAACCTTGATTTGTTGAACAAATGGACAATTCCTAAAGTCCTTATTAGAACAATCTATGATTACGGATGGTTTGATAAACTTTCTTCAAAACAGTTAGTTAAAACTATTGAGCAATCTTTAGCTTTAAATTCGTCTTCGTTTGTTAAACAAGCATGATTTAGATTTATATAAAAATCAGTATAATTATCTGCATGTTGGAATGGTTTTAAACTTCGCATTTGCCCTTAATGACATGCTTTATTATCGTAGAAATGTCTTGCCATATTTAAGACCACAAGTTCTAAAATTACTTATGATATGTGCCACAAGTCTTTCTTTTTTTCTTAAATTCCATGCCATGTCAAATACCACTATGGAAAATGAAATAGGTGAATATATTCTATGTGATAGTTCAATGGTTAGAAATTTTACCACCCGCCTAGTCCTGGTTATTGGGCAACAATAAGTTGACAATTTCTCGCGTCTCTTTTAATATGAAGTAGACAAAAGAAGATCAAAGTTCTAAAATGAGAGGAATGTAAGATATGAATGGTTGTGAGTGCTCTGTGCAGGCTAAAATGGCAGGAGAACCAGTTAATGTGAATGAATTTCAAGAGCTTGCTAGGCAAGTCCTTCTGAAGATGTACTATGACTACTATACTGGAGGAGCTGAGGACCAGCAAACCCTAAAAGAAAATGTAGAAGCATTTCGTAGAATCACGTAAGTTTGTAATTTCTTGCTCTATAGTTGTTAACAGACAGATATCTATCACTAACTTTTCAGAAACTCAGTATTCGACCTAGAATACTTGTTGATGTGAGCAGGATAGACATGTCAACGGCTATACTCGGTTACAAGACATCCGCTCCTATTATGATTGCCCCAACTGCCATGCATAAATTGGCACATCCTGAAGGTTTGTATTAAGATCAATTATCATCCTAGTCGCTTAGCTGAACACAATATGTAGCTCTGATTACAGAAAGCCGTTAAACTAATGCCAGGAGAAGTTGCAACAGCTAGAGCCGCCGCAGCATCTGATGTTATTATGGTAGTAATATTTTTCTAAACCAGATCAATTTCCAATTCTTGTATGTGGATAGTACTGAATTCTCTTGGTTATAGGGACTGTCATATATGTCAACCTGCACAGTGGAGGAGGTTGCATCTAGCTGCGATGCTGTTCGCTTCTTCCAAATATATGTAATTTTATTCTTCCTAACAATCAAGATCTCCGTGTATCTTCACTATTTTTTGTGTGTTTTGAAGCAGAAGGTTCTTTTGTCAATAGGTTTACAAAAGGAGGGATATAACAGCACTTATGGTACAAAGAGCTGAGAGGAATGGGTTTAAGGCTATTATTCTTACTGCGGATACCCCTAGGCTTGGTAGAAGGGAGGCAGATATAAAGAATAAGTAAGCTATATATCATTTTTCTAGAGTTCAAGTCTAGCAAAAAACCTTTTCGTCGTTCTTCTTCAACCATATCTGGATAGAAATCAGTTTCATCATTCAGTACTTTAAGAAAATTAAAGAATTCCTATAGTTTTGGTAATCATGTGTTGATCTAGAAAGAGAGGAGTTATAATTGCAGGATGGTTGCACCTCAGTTGAAGAACTTCGAAGGTCTTATATCTACTGAATATGTTAATGTAAGTAAAACCATAAATTCTGGTTTATAGACAAATCACCTGTTAAACTGAAAGAGACAAATTGTGAAACTCTTTTAAGAAACAAAATTTATTTTCTAGGACTAAAATGTCTCTTATTGGCTGCTTATTCCTACTAAATCTGGTGTTCTTTCTGAATGACTCATTCCTTTCTCCTTCTATTTGTTGGGAGTTGGGGATGTTGACATTAGGGATTAGCTTCAACATTCCCTATGCCAGAATTACATACTATTACTCTTAAAAAGAAAGTTCCTTGAGTACCAAACACAAGGTCATGTTTTGTGCATGTAATGCCAAACTGAAATGGTCAATTTTGGCTAAAAAGTAAAAACTATGAAGTTAATTCTGTCCCCAAGTAGTGTAGAGCCTAAGTTTCCATTAAAGGGGTACCTGCTTTGACTTGCCAATTATCTGATCAATACTAGTTGTTAGACGCACTGGTCTGCTACTTCAGTTTGTTGAGCTTTGACTTGCCAATTATCTGATCAATACTAGTTGTTAGACGCACTGGTCTGCTACTTCAGTTTGTTGAGCTTTGACTTGCCAATTAGCTGATCACTACTAGTTGTTAGACACACTGGTCTGCTACTTCAGTTTGTTGAATATAGTGTACAATAGCAATGCTTCTGTACTCATCTGTGTGCTACTGGTTTATATGGGTTCATGTTCTCGTTCATTAGTTTGATATGCAGAAATTCCGTTAGTCATCATATACCTATCTTGAAAATGGTGTGGATTTTGCTTACATCTACTAATAAAACTCTGCAGGACAACGGCTCAAATATTGAAGCCTTAGCTGCTGGAACTTTTGATGCTTCGTTGTGTTGGAAGGTACGGAATTTTAAGTTTATTCTTTTGTTCCTTATTACCACATGATATACCTCAAGGATGACTTAAACTCTTGGGCCTAGAACAAACATTTTGGTTGAGGATGTCAATGTATGTTAAAGCAAGTAAAATTGCTGAGCTACAAAAGTACATTATAGAAGGATCGTGTCATTTGTTACTAAATACAAATGTGATTAACTGTATTCCCTTTTGATCCGTTTATGCTCCAAATCTTTTGCAGGATATAGCGTGGTTGAAATCAATTACCAAGTTGCCAATTCTGATTAAGGGCGTTCTGACTTCTGAAGATGGTCTTATCACTGAATCCTAGATAGCTCCATAGTTTAGGTTTCTTCACTGATTATGTCTATAAGAACATGGGCAAAGCAAAAGATTGGTGTTTGTCAATCATACATGAGAACTTTAGAAGGGAACTGGTTAAGATAAGATGCCAAAATCTGATAGGAAGTGCAGTCAAGTAAACAGGGAAGAAAACAATAGATGTACAAACATCATGAAGAACGTAGGAAATATTGTTGCAAATCTTTCAAGGCGAAATTTTCAGAATGAAATGATAGTAAAATTCAGATAACTGACTCCGACTTACTTTGGGATTGAACTGTTGTTGTAAGGTTTCACTATTTGACTATTTCTGCTAAAGACTTGGAATACACTACTTTTTGCAGCAATAAAAGCAGTTGAAGTAGGAGTTGCAGGAATTATTGTCTCTAACCATGGAGCTCGGCAACTAGATTATACCCCAGCTACTATTTCTGTTCTTGAAGAGGTTATTCCCTATCTTCCTGGTATATTTGACGTTATCTTTTACTCAATGTTGGTAAGTTCATTGGATTAGATTTTTAGACTTTTAACGAGGCACATTGAATAAAATATATTAGGCCATTGCGAACAATTTAAGCACATAATTTTCAGTATAGAACATTCAATGTAAAATGGATTATCATGCAGAGGCGGAGCTAGGATTTGAAACTTATGGGTTCGAGATTCTAGTTCTTTTGAGTTACTGGATTCTAAATAATAATTTGTATATATTCAATGAATTTCTTAAGACAAATATAGGAATCGAACCAAAGTATGTGAGTTCGGACGAACGCGTAACCAACACACTGGTTCCGCCCCTGTTATCATGGGCTTTTCAGTAAAACAAAAAGGAAGGAAGCTTCGTGATCTTGCTTAGTAAAAGGTATACCAGAGATATAACATGCTTTGGAGGAATTATAAAAGTTTTATGCCTGTCAAATGTATAGCAAGGACTCTTGGACATGGTTGAATGCGGCTGCCTGTCGTGTTTGAGTTCCACAGCATGATATTGGGTCCTTATATCAAGCTAGTCATGCGAGAGTCATCTATGTTATCTGAATTAATAAAATGGCCTATTTTGGATGGAGGGATTTGGTCCTATTTTCTTCAAATTCACAAGTCTAATCATTTGCATTTGTTTGGATATCTAAGAAAATTTGGATTTGAAACACAATGTGAATCACATAATTGTTCTTAATCTCCAATGGTTTCAGGTGGTCCATGTTGTTCAAGATAAAGTTCCAGTTTTCTTTGATGGAGGAGTGAGGCGAGGAACAGACATATTCAAGGCCTTAGCACTAGGCGCAAAAGCTGTTCTGGTAAACTTATTTGAAAGTTCTTACCTCAATTTTTCCAGTTTGTTAAGCTTTAGATTTTCCCTTCCCTGTAATCCAAAACAATATACCTGCAGATTGGTCGAGCGGTTGTGAATGGCCTGGCTGCAAAGGGGGAGCATGGGGTAAAGCAAGTTGTTGAAATGCTCAAGAATGAACTTGAGTTGACAATGGCCCTTTCTGGCTGCTGTACTATCAACGACATTACCACAAGCCACGTGAAAACAGATAAAGAAATATACTGTAGGATGTAGTTTCTATCCTCGCAACATAGGGGTAAGGTCTGCGTACACACTACCTCCCCAAACCCCACGGCGTGGGATAATACTGGGTATGTAGTTGTACTGTAGGATGTAGTTTCGTTGTGGAAGCAGCCAAGTATATCCCTTAAATACAGAGCATAGCTCCAACTCTACAATTGTTTCACATTATGTGAAATTTTAATGAAGCTGGTGGATGATTTCTGCTTTCCCTTAAATCCTTAATCCATAAAATTGGCAAGTTAAATAAATCTTGTTCTTATATGGACAAATATAACTCAGACTGGCTGGACAAGCAACTCCAGGGGATTTAAAAAATGTTTCAGCATACAGGAAATATGTTTGAAGATCAGTCTCGACTCTCGAGTCGCGAGCAATCCGTCATTTCTCTATACCAGCTTAGACACAGCTAGTTTTCTAAATACTGTAAATGTGTACTCAGACTTTAAGCCTTGCTGCTAGTGCTGGACAATATGTTGTAAAGACAACTTCAGAAAGAATGAAGGTGATGCGGTTGGGGTATTATCACTTTTAGCGACGCCGGAAACTATTTACATCTGGTAGCCGAAAAGTGTATAAAACTTGTATAATTTTTGTATATAACATACAGAATGTATATATATACAAAAAATATTTTATATATTTTTTTGGCTATTATTTGTACAGCGGTTATACAGTGTTATTTTTTCCGATGCGGTTCATAGCATTTGTTACCATACTACAGCCTCACAACTTCAAAGCTTTCAAACTGAATAGGACAAGAGAGTTAAAGAACGATAGCTCCCGTGTTTGGCTAAAACACTACGTCTTCAACATTGAAAAGTATGAGTGCTCAGATCTACGTCTTCACACAATTGTAGCCTTCTCACCTGAATGTTAAGTTTTAGTTCAACTCCGTGGGTTTTCCAAGTCCAATCCGAATACTCACGCCTACAGACTCTGATAAAGCTCCGATCAAGAAGAAATAAAATTGTATACCACACCTTCCCTCATGGGAGAACCGAGCAAGGTACTCAACCTTAGGAAAGGGTCTTTAATGTGAATTGCGAACAACACACAAGGGTTAGGCGCCTACAGACTCTGATAAAGCTCCGATCAAGAAGAAAGAAAATTGTATACCACACATTCCCTCATGGGAGAACCGAGCAAGGTACTCAACCTTAGGAATCGCGAAAAACACACAAGGGTTGGTATTGATTGAAACATAATCTGAATAGGAGAACAAGTCTAAAATTGTGGTATGAAAAATCAGCCTTCCCAATGATATGTTACTCCCTCCATCCCAATTTATGTGGCACTATTTGCCTCGACATGGAGTATTAGAAAGAAAGGTAAGACTTCTAAAATTGTGATCTAAAATAAGCCTCAAACATTTGTGTGTTTAAAGATCATCTCATTAAAGTTAACCAAGTTAAAATGAAAAGTTTGAAATTAAACTGTTTCTTAGGACAAACTAAAAAGAAAAAAAGTGCCATATAAACTGGAACGGATGGAGTAAGTTAATGTGCGCTGAATCCACACATTATGCATTGCATATCTACTGCGAACCAAAGTGCTGCAGCAAAATAGCGATATTGGATATTCAAGGATAAGAAAAAGCCTCAATTTCCTAATCCCAAGCAATGATGCTGCATTCCTACAAAGGATGGATCAGCCACAGGCGAAAGTTCTTAGCCGAATCCACAAGAGACCTTTTGGCCCCTCTCTCTCCACAGCTTCACAAATCATGTATAATCAAAGATCATTTTTGCAACTACTTATTATGCAGTATGCTAATAATGATATCACGGCTATAACTAAGAGTTCTCTCTTAAGAGTACTGAAAGTTCAGAGAGATACGAGGCGCGCCCAAACTGTTAAGGGGTAACCATTAAATGGAAAACAGCGAGTTACCAAGCAGACCTCTAACAGAATCGTAACGAACCCTGTGACTAAAAGAGATTGCTCCAATAGTTGCATCAAAGTTCCAAAAACATGCCATAACACAACTAGAATAATGGTGCAAACGCTGCAGTATACACTCACCCTACTAAATCAAAGACACAAAATGCGCAGTTTATGGGTATTCATACACGTGNGACACAAAATGCGCAGCTTATGGGTATTCATACACGTGAGAACCACATTACCAACCCGTAATATTAAAAACAAAGCATAAGAGAACCTAGACTTCGTATGCCAAAAGCCAAATTTCTACACATCACTGATAATACATGAGCTGCTGGGCAGCAACATTCTGGAAACCACCATCATATATAGCCTGGCTTGCTCCAGAGGCACCCATTCCCATTGATGCTTGCTTCAGAGGATGTTGACCTTGGGGTTGCATGAGGGAATGGACACCAGCCATCCTGCTCAAAGCTAGCTGCCGTTCATAAGCCAAAAGGTCAGTCGCAGAGAGGGCTAATGGTGCAGCGGCTGGCGGTGGGAGAGGATTCGTGGCTGTTCCAGGTGGAGTTGGTTTGTTACCCCAAGAACACTGGAAATACACACACCATTAAGTCGAGCTCAAAAATTTTGATCAAATAAAATTGGTTAGTAAGATCAGTATCATCCTATATTTAGCAAAAGAACATATCAGAATCCAATACAGTGACTTGCAAAGCAACTGTAATACTAGAAAAGGCCACCTTCAGATAGAATGATGTACCTTAATCTGTCTACCACACAGAATTGATTGAGCATTTCCCATTTGAATCGCCAAAGCTGCCTCATCATGGGTGCTGTATCTCACAAAACCAAATCCTTTATCACGTTGAACCCGAACTTCCTCTATCACTCCTGCACCAAGGCCATAAAAGTGGCGATGGAGATCGAGTTGTGTCACCTGAAACAAATGAAAGTAAAAGGGCTAAGTCCTTCCAAAAGCACAAAGGCACTTCAGGACCTGAGCAGGGACAAAGGGCAAAGGCACCCTGTGGTTTACTTAGAGGTGTTTAACGGGCGGGCTGGGACGGGTTGTACACAAAAAAANAGTTTAAAATTTTAAATTTTAAAATTGAAATTTGAAAGTAAGTGGCTACAAAAAATTATTTAATAAGACCAATAGGCAATATCTAAGGATCAAGCTCCGAAGGCTTTCATTTGATATTTTTATTGAATAATATATAATACTTCAAATTAAGTTGCAAGTTCTTTTTTGATTTTGTTATTTTTGAACTTGCAAATTAAAAGTTTACAACAATTATAAAAAATAAGAAATAGTACATCAGAAACTGAACTTGAAGGAATATTTGTATCTACAGCAGAAGAAGCATCAACAATGTTAGCATAATAATTATATAATGTTTCTAAATGTTTATGTAGATCAGAAATACAAGTGTCAATATCAGGAGTTTCAGTTGGTTCAATATCCATATAAGAATATAAAACACTGATTAATTGGCGACAAGTGGCCATTTTGATAGAAGGGTTTAAAATAGCACCAATTAGGTAAATAGGGGAAATTGGGTAGAAATATTTTGTAAACTTATCTAGCATAGATTCAACAACAGAAGTATATCCTTCTTTCTTCTTCAAATTATGTAGTAAAAGAGAAATTTCAGCAATATGAACTAAACCATTTGCAATAGTAGGATAATAAGCTCCAGAAAACTCAAGTGTAGCCACATAAATTTTTTGTAAAAATTTTACAACATCTTCACAATGACATCCCAAGTTCTAGATGTTAACAAACGGCTAGGATTGGTACAATGAGAATTAGCAACTTCAATTATAGGCATTCTATATTTATAACAACATTTTAAGAATAAATAAATATAATTTCACCTAGTAACTATTTATTCAGGCATGAGTCTTGGTTTTAGTCCATAGTGTACACATTTTTCTTTAAATGCATTTAATCTTGCACTTCTATTATCTCCTTAATACCAGGTTGAACCGGGCTGTAGCCCGTTAAAAACCTATTAACGGGTTAGCGGGCTTAGCGGGTTCCGGTGCACCGGTATGAAAAAACTGTTCATTTGAAACCCGCTCCCCGCCCAACCCGTCCCAGCCCGCCCCAATGCTACAGTACCGGGCTGACCCGGGCTGATCGGGACTGAACCGGGCTGTAAACGGGTTAGCCTGGCCCGATTAACAGGTATAGGTTTACTCCTAAAAGGTCACACTATTATCATTTTCTGACGGGCAGAAAAGTGAGTGAGAATATCTTACCAGAGGAGCAAGATTACCCACATAAACAGTTGTATATTGTGGGTTGTTTTCAGGAGCATCGCCGTTTTCTGGCTCTTTACCCTCTTCTGCAACAGGAAAAAGGCATTCATTAAGAAGGCCAGAATCAATTTCAAGAACTAAACCCTCTGAAACCAGCCATCTTCCAAACAAAACCGGAAACAAGCTATTGGATAATTCTCTCTGCCAAATTTAAGGACTTGTCTTTAAGGTTCAGAAAATTGTCCACACCTGATGATCCATGAGTTAATTCCACGATACTTTTGGCGTCTGATCCTTGCTTGTCGTCATTCGCATTGGCACCTTTTGTGGCCCAGTTACAACGTATCTGTCTACTACCAAGCCATTTCCCTTATAGCAAAATAAAGATAAAGGGTAAAATAAGACCTTCTAGCTCTCAATTGCTCTGAAATAATCCAACTTGTGCATAAATCAGTAAAAAGGTAACTGAATACAGAGAACTTCTGTGTTAACTTACCAGTTAAATCATTGATTGCACTTTGAGCATCCTGAATAAAAGCAATAAGATTAAATGGGAACAAAGCTGTGCATCACCCGAGAGATAAATTTTGAAACTAAATGCAGATAAAACGATACCTGTTGATTGCGGAAAGAAACAAATCCAAAACCCCTAGAACGCCCGGTCGTCTGATCCCACATTACCTTAGCATCACTACCGATAGGAAGGGACAATTAGCCACGATATATACACATTTGAGTACACAATAATTATTTTCTGTTACGTGTATTTGACACTTTCTAAGTAAATATATATTAACCATGACAGGGCACCTTCTTAGGGAGGCATCCAGGAGGAGGAGATACTTACGAGCAACTAGGGTAAACAGAGAAGCAAGCAAACAACATGGCATCAGTAACTTCTGGGCTCAAATCGCCAACAAATATATTGAAGTGGCCTGCAAAAAGAAGAATATCATACTACACAAATTCACAAACTTCATAATGGGCCAAATGCGAAGTCAAGAATTGCACTTGTACAAAAACAGAAACTGAACGCACCTGAAGTATCCTCCCTCTGTCCACT